CGAGCCCCGGCGGCGGCGGCTGCTGCCCGCGCAGGGGGTCCGGGGCCAGCGCGGCTCGATGCTCCCAGGGCGCACACTCAGCCCCGGATGCCTTTTCAAATTTGGCGAGGTTGGCCCGACTCCGTCAAAGGGGGCGTGGGGCTTCGGCGTTAACCCTTGCCAGGCCTCGCGGCAGACCCCGCTGCGGAGGGGTTCTGTCGGGGCCGGCGCCCGGGCCGGGGCAGGCGAGCCGTGCTCCCACAGGACACGGAACGCGCGGGGCTGCGCCTGGCCCCGGGCACAGCCGGCAGCGCCCCGCGGGCAGGGAGCGCCCGGGGAACCCCAGTCCCCAACCAAACCAAGGCATCACCGACACACTGCAGAAATCCGTGTGTCTCCCCGGTTAACCGAGGGCCAGGTCGAAGGGAACGCACGGCTCAGCAGTGCAGCCCCAATATCCCAAAGTTGGTGCCACGTTCACAGATAACTTCTGATCCAGAAGTTACACAGATAAAATAGGAAATAAATAATTTAAAGATTTTTCATTCACAAGGTAAGCAGTGAGAAAGTGATCTCTGCTGTGCATCCTGCTCATTCTGGCATCATTCAGATGGGTACATGGCTTAGTGGTGAACACGCCTGTGAGGCTGACTGTTGGACTCGGTGATCTTAGAGATCCTTTCCAGCCTTCATGAGTCTATGATTCACACACAAGCGCTCCCTTTGCCACCACTTCCCACAGAATCCCTTGGCTTATCACCCAGGATGCCCCTGAGCTTGAAGAATTGCAGTCAACCCCAGGCAGGAGGATTATTTTTGCAGTTGTAGAAGCATGTGGGTGTTTCACAATGGTAACACCCCAAGAAGAAAGGCAGCAGCAAGGTTCCCTCTCTGTATAGCAACTGAGTCTCTATTTAAAATCCTTGTACATCCCCCATTTGGCAACAGTGCCACAACCCCATTTGCTGGCTCAGTGTCCCCAGCTCAGAGGAACCTGGGCTATTGAAGTTCAATGACTGGACAAGCAACATCTCTGCCCCAATCCTCAAGGAGAGATTTAATTTTAAAGATGACACAATTGTCTTTCTAAATTTTTTACCCTCAGATCTTGCAAGCTCTCAACACCCCATCTGCACCTTCACTGTGCAGTCAGCCAAAGACTGCAAGCAGTGCCACTGAAAGCAGGTCTCTTGCTGGGGTATTCTAGGGACCCAGGGCCTCCCCATGGGGCTCTGCAAAAGCAGAGACCCTCTTCCCTCGAGGGCAATACAATCTCTGCAAGATGCTGCAGCTGAAAAATGTTCCCTACAAGACACTGGGAAAATCCAGGATCTTATATATGGCATTTGCCCCCAGCCACAGGTGAGCAGCCACCCCTTCCCCCACGGTGCCCACCTCTCTGTGTGCACACAGAGATAAATAGCCCCTGGCTAGAGCCTGTAACCAGACAAGTTTAGACTGCAAATGAGGCACCAGGTTTTTAAACAGCCGCTGTCATTAATCACTGAAGCAAATCGCACAAGGAGGCAGAGATGCAGTTTGCACTGCAGCTCAGCACAGCCTCCCTTGGCTGCCCCAGACCCAGAGCTGGGGCAGGCAGTGGACCAGCCTTCTCTGAGCCCAAAGGGATCTAAAAGTTCTGTTCCAGTAACACTGGACTGTGAAGCCCACTCAAAAACAGGCACTATTTATTTACAAAAAGCCCTCAGTGCGTGAAGCTGGGACATAACAGGGCCCTCTGTCCTCAGCCCTGGCTCAGGGCAGCCTGAGCACTCTTCCTTTTATACTCCCCTCACCTCCAGCAAGGGAAACATTTTCCCTTCTCTCACTCCCAAGAAAGCACACAGCTCCCAGAAACTCACCCTAGGATGTGCAGCCTTTCAGACATGCTGCTCAGAGTCAGCCCTCAGGAAACCTCTGCTCAGCTTAACAGGGCAACAAAAGAAGAGACTTACTCTGCTCTTCCCTCTAAGCTGGACTACAAACGACTCCAAATTCAGCCTTCACCTAGGAAAGGAGTCAGGAACAGCAAAACAGTTCTTAAGGCAGTTCTCTAAGAACCCCTTTCCTCTCAGTCTGGGTGCTCATCCTCAGCTCCATCTGCACAAAGTGGATGCAGCTGGGCCTCCACCCCAGCAGTTTGTTGCAGCACCAAGACTGAGTGCTGAGGACAGGGTTCAGCCTTTTGTCCCAGTCATACCTCCCTCTCCTGACAGGCTCAGATAGATCATTACAGATACTTAACAACACCGAAGAGCAGTAGCTTTGTGACCCATTCTCTTGGCCTGGGTTGGACCCTTCAGAAGCTCTTTGTAGTCTTCAAGTCTTAACTTTCCAAAAAAAATTTATTTTCTGCTTCATGGAAAATTTGCTGCTTCAGCCTTCACTGATTTTGCAAGACCCTAGGAGATATTAAACACAGGTGATTAGACAATACATGATTCTGGCAAATTATTAGAGACATCTGTAGGAAGCAAATGGTCTTCCTATTTCATGAATTGAGAGAGTGGAGACCAGAGGTCAAATGACTTTGCTCAAGACTGTAAAGAGCTAAAGGCAGAGCCAGAAACAGAGCTCAGATCTCCAGACTCCCATTACTTCTGCCATGTCCTTAATGCACATTTGCTTCTATTCTGTATGGCTGATTTAAAATGGAAATGAAGAATTGACTTCCAAGCTGTTTCTGGAAAGAGAGAAGAAAGGGTGATATTGTCTACTGTAAGGGGAGAATTAAAGATGACATTTCATTTTAGTCCTTTGGATATGCGTAATATAATCAAACACAATAGCAGTAATAAATGAATATTTTTTCTCCCCATGGTGCTTACGAGTGCAACATATTCTAACAATTTCTCAAAACTATGTTGATAAATTGGAAACACAGTGATGGAGGTAACAAAGACAGCCAACAAAAACATAATCCCTTCAATTTATCAGAGGGACTGGCTTTGAGAAGAAAACCCTTGAAATCTGAACAGTCCTATTCTTATAAACCAGACGTAATATATTTAAAATAGAAAGCTACGCTTTGTATGCCTGTTAATTAAAGATTTGCCCAGGCAAGCAGAGCTAAATAAATTATTTGGATGCATTTCACAAATTCAGTTCAAGATGGAAGGGGCAGATGCACACAGGAAAGCCACAATGCAGAGCAGCATGGGGGGAAGTAAGTAAAAAGGTAAGGGGTTTTCATTTACCAACCTTGTGAACTCTGCTGTCATAAAGAAGAAATGCTTGGAGGGCTGTCCTCCTGCACTCTGCTCACCTGCAATGCAAATGCCAACCTTACAGTGTCATGTCAGAAGGATAATCCATTGGACATAAATCATGAGGGCACACGGAATGTGTTTCAGCTTCTCAGTCCACTGGGCAAACCTGAGACTTAAGACATCAAAAACTGTTCTGAGAAAAATATCCATCATTTCTTTAACCATACAAACCCTGCATGCAAGCCCACCAATAAATTAAGTGGTGGAAAATACAGACATTAAAAGGAATAATCAAAGTTTAGTCTGATTTTTGTTCAGTTGAAAGGGAAAAACTGGAATAATACAGCAAAAGAGGGATCTGTGGCACAAAGAGATGGAAAAGCACTGTCGCATTTGTAAGCAGACTACAGCTCCACAACCTAAATGCCATCTCAACTCTTCAGCACCACTTAGAGTATTACAAAAGTGAGTAATTAGCTGAAAAAGAAAAGTCACAACGTTGTTAGAATCATGGCAAACAAATTTTGAAAGGCCAATCCCTAGGATTTTTCAAGTGCACTTTTCATGTGGATGCTAAGAAGAGACCAAAGGAAAAGCGGCTTTGTTCTGGTTGATAAAACCTTGAGGAGCTTTAGAATTATGAAGTGTCCTTTTGAAGCTAGAGTGAAGTCATTGATAAGATCATCTAAACCCAAAAATAATTTAGATAAACCCTTTCTAGCTTCCCAAAACGCCCAGATCATTGTGATACACAAAGCATTCAAGAAGCCTTGGAAAATTGAAAGAGATGGATAAGAGGTTAGCAACAGTAAGAGTTCAAGACCTCCATTATAAATTAAATTATAAGATTACTAAGGTTATTGTAATACGTCTATTACTGGGGAATCAAACCAAACCTGAGCCAGACTGAAAATTCTATGGGACTGTGGAGGGTTTTTCTTTTAAGCTAGTAGAGAGGTATTGTGTGGACATTTCTTACATTTGACCTGGAATAGATCAATCACAAGTCAAAATGCAATAGAACTGAAAAAATCTCACTTACACAAGCAGTTTAGCATACAGCAAACATGATAGACAGTGTTATTGTGTGAAGCATGAGAAATGAATCAGAAGTCATGAATGGCAAAATTCATTGACCATAGATGAGAACTTTGCCTGAGTGAAGCCCACTTGTGTGGGTATTATAAAGTAATACAAGGGATAAAATAACTCAGATTGAAGCATAATTCAGCAGATGGAAAATGTGATGACTCAACTGATCAGCAAGACAATGCCTATGTCCGGTGGAATTATACATACTCTGAGCATTATTGTGTCCTGGGGAAAATGATTTATGTCACCTTTGATGTCGGGCACTGATCTGCACAGGCACAGGGAGTTTGTGGACACACCCTTGATCCATCAGAATCATCAAGTATGCAGCAGAGCACGATGCACACAGGTGTGATAAAGACAAGGCAGAAATAGCACCAAGGCTACTGCACTCAGACCTGCCAGAGTAGAAACACATCCAGAAGCAGCCAGGAAGGATTGTAAGAGTTACCTTATCCTTCTTCCTTTTCCCAGTAAGAAGGCAAGATCTTTTATACACAGATTATTGTTGGCACAAATTTTTTTTGCCTTGTTCTGAAAGA